CCATAATTATGTTCACAATAGGCTATTATGCTTGAATTAGAGTTATAATTTTAAATGTAATAATTTAGACTAACAATATAAATTGTCCGTCCGGCCGGCTTATACGCTATCAGGTGCGGGGGCAGCAGCAGAAAGACCCCGCTCTCCCCAGCGACACCTTCCAGCTCGTCCTGGGGGACTCCGAGACGTTCTCAGGCCAGAGGGGATAAATAATCCCTCCAGCGAGTCCTGGGKTTTCTCCAAAGTGCCAGACATATTTTGAAAACATTTTAAAATGCTTATTTCAAACCTGCATCTGAGACCACCGGCGACCACGCGGCACGGGGGTGGGGGGGTGTGCGGTACGGTGCGCAACGGTGTGGCTTCTGAATAAATGAAAATGATTTAACACAGTTGTTTATACTTTTAGCAGCTCATTTTATTCCACAGCTGACCTGCTAAAAATGACAGATTTTCTTTTCTGGATCTCTGACAGACGGACTTCAATCTCTGAACTTGTAAAGTTCTTCTTTTTAATTTTCGCTGTCATTTTTTCATGAATGGACACTTTCTGATATCTGAGGCAGGAAACAGCCTTTTATGGTGTTTTTGGGGTGGTAATTATGCTAATCTCCTCTCGCGTGCACGAGCAGCTGGATACGAACAGGTGAATTTACGCAGCTCATTTACACACTTTTCCTGAAGATAGAAGAGTTTGTTGAATCTGATGTGACATGTTCGTACGAACCCTTTGTACGAACAAAAGTAAGAGAAATTTAGGATAAGAATACGAACATGTTCTTGCATGAGGCCCGTTGTGAGTGTGTGCAATAAGTGGAAAAGTTGTAATGCAGTTTATTGACTTTCTAATGCAAAACTGAGTGTCTTCATTTGTGTTTTGAAATGAATAATTCAATAGTGTGCAAGCTTAGTTTGTTGCACATTTGTGTATCCTACCAACAGCATGTGGGGCGAGGATCTTAATGAAGCCGGCAGCAAAGGTGATCAGGACTACAGGGTAGGTGACCCAGGCCAGATACTGCAGGAACACGTTGCTGTCCACAGCCTCGTACAGCCACTTTTGTCCTGCGGACATAAACACAGAGCTCAGGCTGACACTTCACCTACAGTCACATGAAGGTAAGCAAGTACCGGTAGTAGTAGTAGTAGTAGTAGTAGTAGTAGTAGTAGTCATGGCAGCAAGAATAACTACAATATAGCAACAAGGTGTAATAAACTACTTATTTAAAACAAGAAATTATAATAGAGACATACAAATTATGAAAATTTATAGTTTTGTAAATATCCAATAAAAATTCAAGAACTTTCTGTGGTAAAATCTCATTTAAGGTTTTTCCACATCATTTTGAGAGTAAAGACACTGATTTGTAGTACTCAGAACAGCAAATTAAATGTCCTGATGCATCTCAGTAATCCAGGTAAAAAATCAAAAAGAAAAAAACTGTATAGGTCCTCTGGACGGGTTCTTCTCTAATGAAACGTTTCGTCTCTCCTCCAAGAGACTTCTTCAGTCTGAGAGTTTCAGGCAAATTTCAGGCTTTTAAGCACTGCCTCCATGTGACTGATACTCACATCACATGGCTATTGTTGACACCTAATTAACACCTATTGTTAACAGAGGGTGGAGTGATACTGGCAATGGCCGCTGTAGGAGGGGGACAACTGAAAACGGAGGCCTCCACCTCTGTTTAATGCTGGACGGTCTTTCTTCACAAAAATGGCTTCTTTTACTCCTCTCTCAAACCAACGTTCCTCTCGACCGCTGGCCTGTAAATGAGTGAAAACTGCAGAGTTCGTCTGTGTTGGGACATTCTTTTGAACAGTGGTTGCTTTGTTTCCCCGATGTATAACTGGTCGCAGTCCTCCTGGCACTTAACAGCATATACAACATTGCTCTGTTTGTGCCGGGGCACCGGATCTTTGGGGTGAACCAGCCTTTGYYGTAATGTGTTTTGGGGTTTGAAAGCCACTGGGACATCATGTTTAGAAAATAAACGTCTCAGTTTCTCCGAAACACCCGCAACATATGGAATAACCACTGGTTTGGGTCTGGGGTCTTCATTTTCACCTGAAGGTTGCATGGAATCCTGTCTGTGTTTCCTGTCTGCTTTCAGGAAGCCCAGTCAGGATAACCACACTGCTCCAGGGCCTGTCGTGTGTGTGATTTCTCTTTCTCCCTGGCTCCTGGGTTTGTAGGGACACTGTCTGCTCTGTGGTACAGAGTCCTGATCACTCCTAACTAGTATTCCAGTGGGTGGTGGGAGTCAAAACGCAAATATTGGTCTGTGTGGGTGGGCTTACGATATACGCCAGTTTCCAACCGTCCTCCATCCGAAACGAGAAAATTAAATGTTTTATTTTTGACAAAGCCATACAACAGCACAGATATGATGGTTGTTTTTCAACTTTTATCTATTGGCTACAAGGCTAATTTCATGTAGTTTGCCATTATTAGCTTTACTCGAATCAGTTTGCAAGTTATTGCAAGTATGGATGTCAGTTTAGAACATAAAAAATGAAGTAATCAGCTCTAAATCCTTCTAATCTTGAGGTCAATCAGGTTTTGTTTCCCATTTTTAACAATTACTTGCTACACACACTTTCAGCCTCTTTGTTTACACCCCTTCAGGAAGTTCTCACCACACGCAGAGCATCTTTAGTATCAACTTCCACTGCTTTCCTCAAATTTCAGTACAATAATTTACCAGATCTTGTTATTCTTGAAACTAAAATTAGTTTTGACTGGGCTTTTAGAGATTATGTTAGCTCAGAGTATTTATTTCATTTGCTTTAATAACTAATGTAGGTCAGCATCATTCTTACCAAGCAAACCTTGAAATATATTCCTAACTAAAGAAGACTTGTGTTGGCAGACATGAAATTGCTTCTTGTTAAATAGAAAACAATTTTGAAGTGTTCTTAAATGCTCATCAAGGCGAAGCCTTTTTGATCAAAGACACACAAAAAAAGAGACTTTAATGCCACTTTCTTATAAACCTCTAATCTGCTAGAACATTATTTCTTCATAAAAGCTGATCTCCTGTCCTTCCTCACTCACCTTTGAAGCACATGTGAATCCCTAAATCTACCACCCAGCTCACAAGGGCCACGAGGAACCCCAGCAGAATGAGGAAGATCCAGTCCTCTTCAATTAGTGAGACGAGAAACCTCCGACAGCGAACCGTACAGACTGCAGGGACAGCATGAAGACAATTTAACATGTTAGATCCACAGTCCACTGATACATGCCACGTTGTGATTCTGTTAAACCTTTGAAAGAAAATGAGGAAATAAATCTGGAATGACAAAAACAAACACTTTTGTGTACATGATGAATTATGGGTGATGAATTACTGCACATGACACAGCCTGAAATGAACAGGACAAGTCAGTAATTTCCAAAAGGGTTCTACGTTTTTACACCAACCACAGAAAAACACGGCTCTTATGATGTAAGTTAAGTGTTTACTTGGATCGAGCTGCTGTTTGTAAACTTAAGAGTTTATTATTTGATCTTTTTTGTTTCTTTATGATCCTTGTATTTGTATTTTACTTTACCCTCCCGAGTGTTCAGCTTCTTAGTGTTTCTCTCGCTGTTCTGCTCCAGCCCACCTGTTCCTCACCGTCTGTTCCCAAGTATTTGTCATCAGTTTAAATGTTTGTCTCCTCTGTGGCTCCAGTAGCAGAGCATTAACTGTGTTTCAGTCCTCCTTGTGATCTTTCCTGAGATTCTTTGGTTTTTCTGAGTATATTTTGGCTGCCTCAACAGCTCTTTATTTTTGTGTTAAATAAATCACTTACTTTTTACCCGAGCCTCCTTGAGTTCCTGCTTTGCACTTGGGTTTCAAACACTACAGACCGTGACATGATTCTGTCTCACAGTTTGTGATTGTTTGCACAGAACATCCAAAAAACTTTTATATGGATATAATCTATTCCACACATTTAAAATCTTCTAGCAAAAACAAAAACATAATTCAGATTATACCATGAGATTTTCATGTTGGGTTACAGGTCTAACAGGAACAGTCAGTTTTTATTTTCAGACCCAATTACAGAAAAGTAAAAGCAAAGAACAAAACCAATTTGTCATCAAGTATATGTGGAAGAGATTATAGTAAATACTACATTTTGAAAAAGTTCTTGTTTGTGTCATTACTATGTACTATGACAGTTAAACCTGCAACAACAGAAGCTTAATACAAAAATGGTTTAATGTATATTAAAAATACATGCACAAATATTAAAACAAATGCACACAATACAAAGCAAAACAATCATGCATGCAAACATAAACTAATGTGTGTATGTATAAACCAATCAGATCTGTTGTACTCACCACAGGAAGCTAATTGATTGTAGTGCATTGGACAACACTTGATGTGAGACAAACAAACAGTCACTAATTATGACTAATTGCCAAAACTGAACATTAATTTCATGGTGACTCATTATATCCATGAACATATGAGTGTGTCTATTGTTCACCCTCAAACTCTCCTGACATGTTCTCTTTACTGCAGGAAAACAAAACTCAGGGGTCACACTGCTCAATATTTTACAATGGATGAAGTGCCCAAAGCAATAAGACAAACACATGTAGCCTTTGTTAATTCAAATGGTACTTCAAATTGAAATTAAATGGTAAATGGACTGTACTTATATAGCATATTTCTATCCAAACAGAATACTCAAAGCACTTCAGGTCTGTATATACAGTAGTGGGACATTGAAAATTTAACCATTTTTAACCTATTTAAAGTTATTTACATCCAAATCAGGTGAATGATATACAACTTACAACAGTTCACGTTTGTGCCTCACACTTATTCATAGACAAATGGACAAATTAATGATTATAAATCAAATGTGATGGACTTGCGACCTGTCCAGGGTGTACCCCGCCCCTCGCACTGTGACTGCTGGAAATGGGCACCAGTGACCTACGCAACCCTGAAAAGGAAGAAGCGTGTACAGAAAATGGATGGATGGATGGAAATCAAATTTTCAATTTTTAATACTTAATTGCAAATCTTTTGCAGTCAGTTACAACCAGAAGTCTGGAACACAGAGATTTGACCAGACGCTGGCTTTCATCCCTGGTGATGCACTGTCAGGCCTCTCTCAGTTCCTGCTTGTTCTTGGGTCATGCGTTTCAGCAGGTGAAATGTATGCCCAGTCAAATTCAGGTCAGGTTACTGCTGTCTGATTGTTGTCTTGATATGTAGTTTGAGAATTTAGAGGCTCTTGTGAGAACATAATGTTGATCCTTTTGAATCAAACAGCTTCTGTCATGGCCTAAAAGCTGCTTGACACCAAAAGGATGCCACCTGATCCTGTTAACTTGAATTGAACGAATTACAGATGATACCATTTCATGATACCGGGCAACACCCCACTGACCAGACTAGAACATCTCAACACAATCCAACACTGCAGGTGATAATTACGAAAAAGATGCCTGTTGCTCAAACTATTTTTCTGCCTTATTCACAGTGAGCAACAAGTGGAGCTGCTGAGACTGCATGGCTATATTGGGTCCATTGTTGGCGTATACAAATACATATATATATATATATATAACTCACAAAGTCCATCATTGAAAGCAGTTTTATGACTTTTACTTAAGTACTTATCTTATCAGAGAAAATCATTTTTACCAAAGTCATTTTCTGTTAAGGTATTTTACTTAGTTATTTCTTTTAAGTACTTAATACACATCAGTTTTTCAAGTTGCAGGCTATAAGAGTGCTTGTGTGAGTGCTTGTGATTTAGCACTTACTGCGGCGCTTGGCACAACATCCTTTGTACTCCAGCAGGTCCGAGGTCCGGCTTTGCTCCCTGGCTGATCGCCTGTGTTCACTCTCCCTGAGATGAGTGGCCTCTTCCTCGGTGTACACCCCAAGTTCCTGGGTGTAATGCTTAGACATCTGCAAAGGACCAGAGAAAAACATTTAACAATAAGATGGCAAACTCATTCAGTGGGCAGAGTCGAATTGTTTGGTTGCATTTAATTACCTAGCCAAACAAAAGTCGCCACCAAAAACAAGGTCAGACACTAATATTTTGTTGGACCACCTATAGCTGTGAACACTGCACACATTGGCTTTGGCATTGTTTTGATTAGTGTTTTTTTTCTTTAACCCTACATAAATGTAAACTTTCATAAATGTAAACCACGGAAGTGGTGACCACGATTGTTTAATGAAAACAGAAGAAGGCACATAAATAACTAGAGAATTTGCATTTTCTGCAAAAATAGATAAAGACTTAAGACACAAAAAAATTAGCAATTTATTAAAAAATAGTCAAAAAGCTGAATTTATCAGAAAAGTAGATAAAAGGTAGCTGAAAATGATGAATCTAGCTCAAAGAAGCAGAAAGAGCATGTTTTATGAATGAAGCAAATAAAAGATGATCACAAAAATTTCCACAAAATACTAATCTCTTTTCTCTGCTCTGTCTGGGATTTCTCCCACAGACAAGGATTTCTCCAGTAGAATTTCAACCGGGCCAATCAGCGAACAGAAGAAGGAGTTATGAATGATGATGTTCATTGTAGTTTAGCAATGGCAGTGAAGGAAGTAAATTAAGCCAGTCTGTGTTACCAAATTTCCCTCTGGGATCAATAAAGTATTTTTGAATTGAAGTGACAAGCTTCCAAATTAAATTAAATTTGTCTCACAAAACCTGCAGCTCTCTTCTCGTTTGACTCGGTAAGTCTCTCTTCCCAGGGCAAAAACTGAAGCCATCATATGAGATTGATGATGGCTCCGGGGGGAAATGTCTGTTTTTATTTTTATTTGTTTATTTGCTGTTTTGAATTAACATGTGGGATGCAAGACACAGGAAAAAATGATGAAATGCACACTAACCTGACAACTAACCTGACTGGCCTAATCCATGATAACATAACTGATCTGCCCTCTTATGATGATTTTGTGTTTGAAAAAATGCATAATGGCTGTGTCCAAAACGGCAGGACGGGTCCTCCGAAGGTCGAATTCGTCGGCCGCATACTTCACAGCGCCACGACGAAGGACGTCCAAAACCGAAGACTCCTCCGATGCGGCCGACAAATACGTCCTTCCTTTGGCCCGAATCGAAGGACGGGTCTGATGGATCCTTCCCGGCCCAGCGTATCCCATAATGCATTGTGGCCAGACCGGAGATTTTTTTAAGCTAGTAATAGCGGACGAAGCGAGAGAAAAGAATACATTTTAAATAAAAATATGGTGATATAAAAATTAAAAAAATTTAGCGGTTGTAATTCTAATACTTTTATCATTTGTATGGACATGTTTTTAAATATTATTTTTGTCATTAAAAAAATGTGAGATAAACATGAACCTACAGCGGGTTAATTAGTTCTTCAAATGTTACCTTTAAGTTAATTTTATAGTTTTGTGATATTAATAATGCTAATGTATTGATATTTTTCTAGTTTTGATTTAAGTTTGCTTGTTTAGCGTCGTCACAGTTGCTAGGTGACATGATGTACACCAGGGTATGGAGGGGAGGCTAGACAGTCCAAATTCACAGCCTCTTTTTTCCGGTCTTCCCGGTCTACCAAGGACCTGGCCCGCCGCGACCGGGGAGTCTGGGTCCTCCGGAGGACCCGGCCTGTCGTTTTGGACACAGCCAATGTCTCAAACAGGGATCTGCTGGAATTTTTGAAAGGCAGAGGGAAAAGAGCAGATGTGCATTATGAGGCTTATAAATTTACCTTTGGGGAGGGGCAAACTGCTTCCATTTTCTTTGATCTGTGCTCTGTCATTGGGTGTGGTTCAGAGCAGGGGGTTTATCAATCAGCAAGAGTATATGTCTGTCCGAGTGAAATAATGCTTTATTTGAACAAGGACTTTGGGTGTGGTTATCAGTTAGGAGGATGGGGAAAGATTCCTTTTCAGGACAGATTAGACATTTGGAGAGACCAAGTCAAAGGGGGCCTGTGTAATAATGATTCTACTTGTAACCCTATGATTCTGACTTTGAGAAATCCACAGGTGACAGATATTGGATTTCTGCTGATGGGGCTGGCGGTGAAAGGACGAGACCCAGTTGGTAAAATCTATATTCATGTGGTGCAGCTTAACGACTTGGAGCTAACAGTTGATGTGGGCTCTAGCGAGGAACTTGTTGTAGACACGGGGGTTACTCAGACCAATTATTGGTTGAGATTTGTCAGAAATGCAGCCAGTCAAGCAAAATTGTCAAATTGTGTGGTATGTGCAGAAGCAAGGCCAGCACTATTAATGGTTCCATCACCTCTGAGTAATGCTTCAAATTTTTTTTCTGTATGTTGCAATTGCATATTACTGAAAACCCATGAGTTCAGTGTAAATATTTAGAACACTTCTTTCCTATGTCTTCAAAAACAGACGTGCCTCCGGTGTTCAAGGCGGTGGAGGGCAGTTTCACTTGTTTGGCCAGAAGGGGGCGGAAGAGGAGCATGGATGTTGGACAGCTGAATGTGACCTGGTGTAAACAGGTGATCGATGTGTCATTGTGGGAGAATGCAACAATGTTAAATGTGTCTAGGGCGGATGTATTTTGGTACTGTGGTAATAATCGTTTGTTAAAGGTGTTGCCAGCAGGTTGGAGTGGGCTGTGTGCAGAGGTGTCCCTGGTCTCGCCACTCAGTTTTGTAAATATCATGATTGATGAATTGCTGGAACATTGGGCTCTCTTGGATAAGCAGGTTGTTAACTTGAACCGGGTTAAACATGAGTTTGACATATATGAAAGCAGTCCAGTGGACATTGGTGCTATTGGAGTGCCAAGGGGGGTTCCCACTGAATTTAAATTGATCGATCAGGTGGCAGCTGACTTTGAAAGCATTTTACCTTGGATCAGCCTTAACAAAAACTTGGATCGGATCAATTTTATTCATTTTTCTTTGCAGAGGTTTTATAATTTGACCAGGGATGCCCTTCAGAGTGCGCATGAACAGTTGGCTGCAACGTCTTTAATGGCTTATCATAATCGCATTGCATTAGACTATTTATTAGCAGAACAAGGTGGAGTGTGTTCATTTTTTGGGTCATCTTGTTGTACATTTATTCCTGGACATACTGAAACTGATGGGTCATTTACAAAGGCTGTTAAAGGTCTGCAAACTTTGTCTGTGGAGATGAACAATTTCTCAGGGGCTGCCACACAGACGGAGGGATGGTTGATGAAGATCTTTGGAGGTTGGAAAAATCTGATGTCTGCTATTGTGATGCCATTAGTGATTATGGTGGTAATACTAGGTTTTTGCTGTTTATGTGGCATCCCTGTGACTAGAATGTTTTGCTTGAGGGCCATCTCCCAGACTGTTTGAAATACCTTACACCAACATCCCACCATGGAGTACCAGATGGTACAGACAACGGACGCCGCTCCAGTGCCACCACTACAATATCCATATGGCACAGATGACGACTGATGTGGAGACCCAGGCCCTGAAAATGATAATTCTAGCTGACATTTTTAGATATATAATGATAAAACTGAAATAGTTACACTCACAGACGGACATGATTTTTGTAGGTTAATGAGTCGATGGTAAATGATTTTTGTAAAATGTTGTTTGATTTTCCTTTATGTTTTTAATTATTGATTCTTTTTATAGAAGTGACACACTAAGCAGGATATGTTTAGAACTGTTTTAGCATTTTCGTTGATTTGTTTTTACTGTTCTTTGTATGGTTTAATTGTTGATGAGCTAAGGTTAAATCTTAATATGCAGGGATGTTGTTAGTAACCAGGTCAGTCTGCCATGGAAGACAGGTTTTCTATTTTGTTGATTGGGGTGGAATAAATGGATCACATTATCAGGGGTGGAATGTTAGAAATTTTCCATGTTGTGCTGTATCGCTTAGGGTAATTTGCATACACATTTGTGCCTTATTGCGAAGCTATCATTCAAATGATACCTTTAAGTTAATTTCATAGTTTTGTGATATTAATAATGCTAATGTATTGATATTTTTCTAGTTTTGATTTAAGTTTGCTTGTTTAGCGTCGTCACAGTTGCTAGGTGACAAGACGTACGCCGGGGTAAGGAGGGGAGGCTAGACCGTCCAAATTCACAGCCTCTTCTTTTCTGGTTTTCCACCAAGGACCCAGCCTGCCGAGACCGGGTAGTCTGGGTCCTCCGGAGGACCCGGCCTGTCATTTTGGACACAGCACCGTTAATATCTTTTGATCCAATGAGTTTAAATCAGGTTTTCTTTGTGTTTCAGGAGATATTTTGCTAACAGAAACACACAGGTAAACTGACTGTAGAGATCTCAACATTTTTACAGAAACAGGTTTGAGATAAACCTATAAAGAGGGAATTTCCTTCTCTCTCTCTCTCTCTCTCTCTCTCTCTCTCTCTCTCT